TTTTGGTACCAAAAAACAAAAGGAAATTGCACGGACGATCGAAGAAACTATATAGTTAATTGTTTCACGGCGTAAATAGTATATATTGCCAGAACAACGCGAAAAATGTATTCTCAATTTAGCGGTTCGAACCGGTTCGAATCGGTTTGAACCGTTATTTTTTTGCTACCCGGAACTGAACCGGAACCGAACCGAAAGCCGTGAACCCGAACCGGAACCGAACCGAAAGCCGTGAACCCGAACCGGAACCGAACCGATAAAAATTTCGGTTCGACACTCTGCCTCCATGATCTCTCGTCCGTATCTTGAGGCGTTACCTCCAATCCTGGTGGTCGAGGGAAGGTTGGCCGAACAGGGTTCGCTGCACTCAGAGGTGTGTTTGGCACACCCCTACATACATAACACCTCACATCGCCTGAAATCTATTGCGCGCGGCTTCAACACCAACGTTGTATTTTCCTGCAAGTCCGAATTAGCTTCTATTTGTAGAAAAATCAACAGCCCCGGTCCAGCGCCCCCGTGCCAGAAAAAGCACCAGACCAATTATGTAACCTGCTGCAAAGAGTGCGTGTATTCGATTCCCATGTCCTGCGGTACTAAATACATCGGACAGACGGGCCGATGCCTAAACGATCGGGTGAGGGAACATGCAAATGAGATCAAGAAAGCCGCCTCCGACAAATCGGAGATTAGTTACCACCCGATTGCCAAACACACCTCTGAGTGCAGCGAACCGAAATTCCTTTGTCCTCATCTTGTTAGGACAACGCGCTTTGGCTATGGAGTCTGGAGTCGTCTTACTAGTCCGCGCATTATACATGTCTAAATGTTTACGCGGTGCAGACTGTCTACAGTTGCGGACTATACGCAATGATTTTTTTTTTTTCTAGATCGTTTTTTATGACGAGACGTAAGGCATTTTGTGACTGACATAATGTTTATGGTGATTTTATGTGAAAAGTGCGATGTAAGCTTCTTTGTATGCTAGTAAAGAAGGAATTTGCAAAAATGTGCTGTGTATGAGAATTTTTCACCGGCGTATTCGCGACTTCAGCAGCCTATAGGGGGCGCCACCACCAAAGAAATATGGCATCTGGGTCCAGGTCGCGTAGGCTCGGCCGGGCCGCCTGCTGAACGGGTGGCGCATTCAATTTAATAGATTTTCCTTTGTTTAATGCCCAATTTTATAGGTATTTGAACTGCGACGGTTAAGTGCAGCCGGTGCACATAAACTTGCAGAGCATAGCTTTGCTCTCCCGGTGTTTTTCGTTCTTTTCATGTCAAAATTAGATTTCGGAGATTTTGTTCAAAACCGAAACTATGGGCTCCGAAGAGACGGTAATAGACTCTGATCAGTTCTGATCAGCTAAGGAAAGCGGCGATGGCTACAGAATTGTTCCACGTCGAAAGTAATTTTTGGCTAACTCGCATGCTTCGACCATGCGACTTATCTGTCAGCGAAATCGAGCTTTTGTGCGTATCCGCATTTAAGAAACAGCTCCGGTCGTCTGCTCTGTCAACAACACAGGTTGCAGGAAAATTACGAAAATTTAGCAAGCACAATTCTTGAGCCAAGGAGCATGTTAACCCGTTGGCACTCCACTAAGCAGCTGATACTCATAATTCAATTCAGGTTTAGTAGCCATCGAGAAGTTATTTTGACGACTATGCGGGTTATGTATTACGTAGTACTACGTATTACTAAAAAGGTATTACTATATTCTTTGGGTTGAAATATCAGCTTAGTTGACTAACTATTAGGTGAACTGCTGAATAAAAGTATATTTGACAGACAGGGATATTTAAGCGCCGTTCACACTCTTGCAACCGAATACGACCGAGAGAGACCAGACCGGTTTTGAAGCCTTTTGCGACTTCATAGGACCGAATGCGCGGCAGCGGAGCTGGTCCTAAAAGATCGCAAAAGGCTTAAAAATCGGTCTGGCCTCTCTCGGTCGTACTCGGTTGCAAGAGTGGGAACGGGCCTTTAAACTCAACCAAAGGGTTCTAGCCGGCAGCACGGAGACGAATGCAGATAAACTGAAGAGAGTCTTCAGCGGAGCTTCACGCATAACCCCTCTGCATTGAAGTTGACTTTGAATCATGAACGGAGAAAATTAGTATTTTTGGTGGCCGGACAACTTGAGCAATGTAGACGTACATTGCTGCTTGCTTCGACAGGGGTATAATATAAATATTGGAGGCGCGATAGATCATAATGTCATGACAGCTTCTAACTGCGAGACGCGTCCCCTACCTTTTGGAAGCAGAGAATATATCTCACCAATCGTATGCTGCGAGCATGTTTTCCGGAATTTGGTCATTGCGGAATCAGCCCACCTCCTTCGGTGTGGTCCAGAAACTTTTTTTGGCGAAAAGCAGCCAAGATGAATAGCCAACGCACCGACCGGTGTGGGTGGCTTAATCTTGAAGCTAATCGAACACAACTAAACTCAACAAAAGCAGCTATCGAACCTTCCCATTCACTTGACTGCAACATTGGTGTTCCCTCCAGTGAAATACCTCGTCTGTCGTCCTCAATCCACTGTTCTACATCCCTATGAAGAAACCACTTATCAGTTACCAAGCGGTCGTCACTTTGAATATGATTCGAGGCAGACAAAAAATCAAAACGTTTTTCCGTGATTCCTGCCCATCCAAGAAATCGAAAGCACGCGACCGTGTGTTGTGGAGTAAATGGGCTTTCAATCACAGGATGGAAGGAACAAATTTACTGAGGCTTCACCACACTAATGAACACTCCCGCAAACTTAAGACATTTTCGGACCTTCGTCAAATTACATTGTTCGCCACCGCGCCGACAACACGTGTCCGCGAAAGCCTCGAGAGACGCGCGGAGGGGCGCAAAACGACTTGTTCCGGCTGGTTCCCGGTTTTCCCGCTTGGTGGCGTCCGCTTTTCTGTAGTATATAGTCCGAAAAATACGGTACTTGTTGTAAAAAAGATTCCAATGTATACACTTGGATGAGGCTATCGAAAGCGTATCATAACTATTTTTTTTTTCTTTCTAACTTTCCTATTTTTTATGTTATATGAGACTATGCGGATTCAAATTGACAGATCGATGAAGACAGTAGGGTGATTCCACGAGAGATCGAACTTGCAGGTCCACTCAACATTTTTTTTTTAATATATGTGATGTGCACACAAAAGAATCGCACGAAACGGAACTTTTTGTCTCCAAACCGCGTTTTCACTGCGAGAAAAAAATGTTTCAGGATCGCGCGAACACAAGGTCCGTAGACTTGATTCCTCACGTAACATAAAAGAGTGTTGACATTTAAACGGAGTGGCGTTGGCGGGACGCGACAAGTCGGATCTTTGTTGAAAGCAGCTGTCAGAGGATGGCGAGCTTGACCAACTTTGGCCTTTGTTTTGAGCAGGTGCTGGACAGATACATAGTGCATGCTGCATTGCTCACGCAGGCCGGAGTGGCTATGAAAGACACCTCGTCGGGAGAACACGAACCCCAGCCGAACGCCAACGTAGGGCTCGGCTACATTAACCGAGCACTGCGTCAATGTTGCCGTCCCCATAGGTGCAGTTCTAAAGTGGGCCGCTTGAGGCGCAGTAGTTGAAGCTCTCTCTTCCCCCCCCCCCCCCCCCCCCCTTTCCACTAGGTTTATCGTGTCAAATCGCGTAATCATCGCCAGGGGTCTCCAAACCCTGGCCTGCGGTGGGGTGTTCTACCCTGCGGGCCAGATTCGTTCCGTGGAAGCCTTCCGACCAACCATGCAGAGACCCACTTCTGGCAGGCCCGCTGCTCTCGGCGCAAAAATGAGCACACGTTAAGACACCGCGACGTGCAGCAAACAAATCGTATCCTTTCTGATTGGTATCCCACTGATAGCTTTGTGTCATATTTATCGCCCATTGTCATCAACACGATCATCAACGTTAGTCGTTTGTGCTATGTTACTCCAACTTTGTTAAAATTCCTTTGCGTCTTATGCACACATGGTGCTTAGTGTCTTGTATAATTACTGTTGCATATTTTTTATCTTGAGTTCTACCACGCTAATCTGGTCTTCTGCTCTTTGAGAATAAGGTAAGCTTTCAATTCGCCTTAATTTGTCTTGTCTGTTTTTTTTGGTGGAAGCATTTTTTTTAATGTCATAATTAGCTAAATGTTTAATGTCAAAGGAAAGTATACGCAATTATTCATCTTCTTTTCTTTATTGCTAAAACGTTTGAAGATTTTTGTTACAGACCAACTGAACTCTCTGAGCTCGCGCCCGTGCGTTGGCGCTGCTGTTGGCAGTGCGCATGCGCAGAGGCTTCGTCTCGTGCGAATGTGATTTCTGCGCACGCGTATATGCGTCTAATTATTCGAGGGTACTTTGCACAAATATTGAATTAAAACAAAATGATCGTCAACAGTGGACGAAGTAATGCTTGGGAATAACCAATTCATCTCTCTTTTCTTGAAGGGGTATTCATAATCCACATGCTAATTTCGCATCATCATAAAGCACGACACGTAAAACGCCATTGATGTACAGAAATAGATACCTAAAGCTCTTTTTTTTTTTTTTTTTTTAAGCGAGATAAGAATTGCAGAAGTTTATCTGCAACCTTTAAACATCGAAACAATTGGTACTCAAAACTATTCTAGCGTCGCTTCAGATGGGATACTATTTGGTTCACTTTTGATTCCATACTTAAAATAACGATTCACCGAGTTTCGTGCTATGTCGCTAACTAGTCGGCATGAACCATAATTGGTTCTTCTCACAATATCATTGTTGACTTGACATGTCTGGTGCTTTAAGCCCAACTTAAGAGCTACTTAAATGTTTGAGTGGATAAGACTGTCTGCCGTGCAATGCGAATGAGTGGTTGCAGAGGTTACACGCACATAGTACTCTCAGATAGGACAAACAAGAATGAAATATATGCTTGTACTTTGAAAGTTATTTCCTGCTACAAAATAGACTCTTTGGCTGTTCCGAAACATACTTCACAATTAGTCGGACCATTTACATCACTTTAAGCGGGCAGTGCTTATGTTTAATTTAGGAAGTGTAATGCGGTTCAAGGGTGCGGCGTACGACAGGAAAGGGGGGGGGGGGGGGGGTGACAGACAAAGAGAGAGAGAGAAAGATTGGGCACATAAGGGTAAGGTCAGCGAAGGTTTACAATTGTTCCCGGGATGGAGAAACTCGCACTTTACCCAGTTAATCTTGATGGCTCCGAAAGCAAGAACGGCGTAACCAGTGGCGATGCCCACGCAGAAGGCGCCGGCATGCGCGAAGGGCTTGAAGTACACGTCGTTACCGGCTTCCACCGTCTTGCTGCAAGTGAAGATGTCAATCAATACGAGCTTCTCTTGTGAGACAGCAATTAATCCCTTCTTGCGAAAAACGTGTCAGTCACAACTAAAGCAAAACTTATGACTACCTTAGCTTTCCCGATGGCGAATAAAGCTGAAATGGCACAAAATCGATATGTGTACCGAAATTCAAAAGAATTAGAATGGTTCGGTAACATTTTAATATTATATCTTGTCGGTGTTTAATTTAAACAAATGTTATATGAATTGATTTATAGTGATTTTTGAAGTTCCAACTTGATGTTGGATCGAGCTAAAAATGGTAAAACGCGCTGCTGTTAAAAAAAAAAAGAAAAAAAGGTTTTAGCCAGTCGCTAATACACATTTGAATAGAAATGGTGGGCCCACGAATGCGCGCTGAGTGTGAAGTGCTTACACCACTTCCTTAAAGGACACATGCAAAGGAAATTTTTTAAACAGCCTGGTTGGGAAAAGGAAGTCATAAAACGAATTTACAACAAAAAAAATTTTTTGGAGCTATATTTAAGGCGCTATACCAATTTGTAGTTGGCGCCCGCAGAAGAGTGGCCGCTATTTGTCACGTGACTCGCCGCTATTTGTCACGTGGTACTTGCGTTCTTTCGGAAGCTTCCTGTGGTCTTTAAAAAATACCTGTTCATCTTTCTTGCTCCTGAAAAAGTGCAAGCAGACATGATACACCTGTGCGCCGGTCAGATGACGGCGACGGCGCCGCGGAGCAGACGAACTTGCTTGGCGGCGCGGCGTGGAGAAACGCGTTGAAACGGCGGCGCACAACGATCAGCGTGAGGCGGCGGCGGCGGCGGCGGTGTAGCGGCGGCGGCGGCGGTAGCGGCGGCCTGACTTTGAGGTGGCAGAGGCATTGCGCGACGACGCACATGTCTACCACGTGACCCGCGGCGGCTCCCGCGGGCGCCAAATACAAAATTCGTTTTAGAACATTCTTCTTCCATCTAAGCTCCCCTTTTTCACTCTGGTATATATATATATATATATATATATATATATATATTATACATGTTTCGCATTTTGGGTTTATTGCAAGTTTTTGTACTTGATGTTCGAGTCGGTGTAGATGGCAGTGGGACCATAGTGATTCATCTTAGTCTGGACTGCAACAAGCGTTGAAGTTGCCAGGGTGACCAGGAACAGCAGTGCGAATCCCAGCTTCTTTCGCCTTGCACAATGAAAAAAAGGAAATATTATTTGTTGCATTCGGCGCAGACCTTTGGCGCTGTAACTTACCTCAGCATTATCATTGGTATGATCCAAAGCACGGAATAAATCTGCCAGTCTACGCTAACGTACCAGAGGTGTGCCAAACACTGCAAGAAAGCGCTCGACTTAGGAACGTGCGAGAGGCTTGCGTGTATAACTCGATGTCGACAAGGTAACAACACTCGCCATGTCGAAAAATGGAATCCAGTTGTTGATGTGGAGCAGCACTCGCCACCAGTTCTTCTCGCATTGTCCGAAGAGCACGTCCTTATACTCGGAGTACAGGGGACCCGTGGCAAAGAGCGGGAAGAGCAGCCATATTGCCACCACGAACATCACGGGAGCTGTAATCCTATGGGAACCGTGAGAGTGAAGAGAAAGTTCGTGCTTTAGATCGCGCTCGAGGCTGCTAGAAGCGAGGCTTGTCTGACTTCATGAGATTGGACTGTCTATAATACAAGGAAAGGCGTCGCTATACGTGCTTACCTGACCAATAAGTGCCCAGCTAAAGAAACGAAGAAACAAGCCGAGTACGCCTGTAATACTTGTCGCGGGTTTTGCAAGCTACGGCAATGCAAAACTTGCATAAAATTAAGCACAACAATATATAATGATGAACACTTCGCTCAAGGTTGCAGAATGTATCGGAGCATAATGCTATAATCAACAAAAGAGTTGCTCTTATTATCGTGTTTTCAAAGACAGTAATTTGGCACCTGATTAAACTGGCCCGGAAATTCACTCAGGGGAAAATAAAACACTTGCGTGTATATGTATTGGATCTGTGACACTACACGTCAGTACACCATTGTGTACACAAAGCTTGAAGGGGAGGGAAATTATAATTCTACGCGTGGTTCTGTAACCATATGGCGTAAGGTGTTTACCATAGGCAAATAAGTAGTTGTGATAATTTATTTGTCCTAAGAGTTAATAGTTATAACTACTACGCTTATACCTGATATAGCGCCGCACAAGCAGCAACACGATGGGAATGACCAGCGTTTTCTTGTAATCCTTCAGGTACTTGAGAACATTGAAGGTCACCAGGAATCCGCTGAAAGATTCATTCATATGGCCTCATACCTCGCTGTCGCTTCAAGATAGAAGATACATAAAGTGTTCAACCGTTACCTAATAAATAAGAAGCTCTGAATGCACGGGTATGCGTTCGCGATCATGAGGAAGGCTGGATTCTGATGGTACTTGACGATGTTGAGGGATTCACCTGCAAAAATTAATAAATATATAACACCAAAAAGTTCTACTGCCCCGAATAGAAGTAACGCTTTCAAATTGGGGCATTATTTTAACTTTGAGAAACAGAGAGAAAGGGGCTTTTAGAGGGGAAAACAAGCTGGTAGAAAGAAAAGACCAGTCAACTCTGATACAGTTGGCAATTCTGAATAGTGTACCGAGGTGTATCCTCTGCCAGTCGCTGCTGCATCCCTTCGAATGGTCCGTTCCATTCAGTCACTTAGGAGGTGTACAAATGATACAGTTAGTGATATCCGGACCTTTCCTAAGCTGTGCACTACCACTCTTGGACTAAAAAAAAATTAAAAAAAAAAAATTTTTTTTTTCTTACTTTTATGGAAAAAAATCTGGTCAAATGTGTTCGTTCACTGGTTAAATAAATCTAATTGTCTACAGAAGTGATGGATCCGGCCTGTGAGGGGCCGCTACACTAGGACGTATGAGATGAACTATGCGACAGCCGGTAGGGGAACTTCGTTAGTTCTGTTAAGTTTAAGTACGACTCCGTGGTTCGACTTCGGACAGATTCGGTTAGTTGGAAAACAAGCACGAACCCCCAATCCAGTAATGCTAATAATGCTTGGAGTTGGGCTAGTTGGTTTGACATTGATGGTATGCTGCGCTGCGTAGTTACGCGGAAAAAAAACAACACTGGAGAAATGAAGTTAAAGCAGAAGTTGTTAGTCTGCGCCAATTCATGCATGTTTTGTTTGTCCTTCTGCTTTAACTTCATTTCTCCAGTGTTTTTTTTTTTTTTTTTCGCGTAACTACGCAGCGCAGCATACAATCAACCCCAATCCAGGCTGCTTCAGATGTAATTCCGGCCGCATGTGGCTCTCATGATCGGAGCATACGCACATCCAAAATCATATCCGAAGAAAATTAGTTCGTACTGGAGACGATGACCCCAAAAAGACTTCCTTATTCTCAGTTTGTTAATACTTGTCACAACTTAGGTGTCTGGAAAGCGTATTGGTGTGCCCATGCATCGAAAAAGGTCCCGAAGTAGTAACAAATGATATCACGCTGAGCCGAAGTGTCATGCTGTTGGATGTCGCGATCCTGGCGGTGGGTGGTAGAGGTTCAGGGAAAAAGTACTAGCGAATTTCGCGAGTGTCGCCGTCGTCACGGCGTCACAACTCTTGGGTGCTGAAGCTTCCGTGAAATGTGGAGCTAGAGCGCGACCTGCAGTAGAACAGGCGTCAGCTGTATGTACCTCCGATCTTATGCCATCACCAGAATCACGGCAGACAACAGCATGACACTTTTATGACGTTGTCAGGGTGAAAACAATGAACCACACTTTAAAGGGACACTGACCCCCCACCCCCCCCCCCCCAATTGTTTTTTGCTAGGCAATTTATTATCGTTTCAGAAGACTACCTAATCAATATTTTGCTACCGCGTCACATACATATTTAATAAAGTAAAAAGACGCAACTGCTCGAAACCGAAACTGGACTGGGGAGGAAGAAGGAATATAGAGGAGAAAGTCACCGGAAGTCACGTGGCTGTGCAACTTTTTTTGTTTTTTCCATCAACGTATTTGCAGCTTTTTAGAAGCCACAAACATGGGTATCATATATTTGTCTACTTTTAGTATTGAGTCTGTGCCTTCGATGATCCACGACTTTAATTACCTTTGACGATTGTGTCTAAACCTTAAAACGCGGCACGTGACCACGGAGATGAGAGTGAGCGTGACTCAAACCGGTCAGTTCGCGATTGGCGGTTTTCGGACGGAAAGAAAACGAATTTCAAGCCGCGAATTGCGTTCTGGGTAGTTGGGCTCTCATATGTTATGTACAAATAGAAACCTTGGCGAGCATAAATACCCTGTCAGTGTTTCTTTAAGGACGCGGTAAATGCACTACTGTCAAAGACGTGTTTCAGACACCGTAGTTATAACTTTAGAAATTTCACGCAAAAATGATTGGCAATGTTGAATAAGAGATGGTTGACTTGCTAGGAAAATAATTCACGACTATAAAAGAAAAAAAAAAATGAGAAGCTAGTTTTTCCAAAGATATATGTGCTGCAGGTGTTCAGATCCCATTAGTTCCGGTCCTAATAGTAACAGCCTGACCTTTATGAAACGCGAGCAAATACATAAGAGCAGTAGGAACAAACCGTGGGTACAGACGTCTACAGCGGCTACCTGACTCCGATCGCCAGAAAGCTGTCTCGATGCACTTACCAAGGGCAGTAACGCTGACGAGAAAATACGTATGACCCAGGATGACCCAAGACGAACTCCAGAATCGCATTCCGTGGATGAACCGCAGTTTAACGCTGTCCGAGCCGGATGCTGCCTTCGTGGTGAGCAGCATCTTTGTGTTAGACACTACGGAGAAGCTCACCAGGAGTTTGGTCAGCAACACTGCAGGGGTGAGAACGTGTAAGAATTCACTCGCATTTTCAGTGTCCATAGTGCGCCTCTGATTTACACACAAAATAGGAAGGGTATTGTCAGAATGTGTTCCCGCAATCCAACGTGCGCGCTTTATAGGTGTTAAAACTTACTTTGTAGGTTATAGTAAAAACGCTTAATTAAACGGTAGAGGGACGGAGGAGCAAACTGAAACTGTGTACTTGATTTTTGAAGATCTGAGTATTTCGTAAATACAGGTATTTTTTGGACAATTATCTTCCGCATATATTACCTGGAAGTTTCTTTTGCTTTTCATTGGGGAGGTAGTAACGGACGATGTCGTACGCAGTTCCCAAGACAAGAATCACAGACAGCACTCCTATAAACATCCTGAAAAAAATTAAAACGTATCACAGCACAGAACAGCTGAATGAAATATATATAAAAAATTATGCAATCTGAGTTTGACTGTACTTCTCTGAATGGTTCACAAAGGCTAGTTACAATGAATCCTTGGTTTGCCTGGATTTTCACACTTCATAATGCCAAAGTTTGTTAGAAGCTTCAGTTGCATGTCAACGACATTTTCAATGGTGTCTATTTTTATTATAAATATAAGCACCCATTATAAAACGATGATACGCAGGACAAGTTACAACAGTTGTCGCTAGATCATTAATTGTAAGCACGCGAAAGTTCGAAATTTCATAATTGCGACTCGCTTTCAATGATTCTCCGTTCGTACCAAACACCCCTATCGCTCATCGTATTTCAGGAGCAAAAAAAAAAAAGAAAAAAGAACAACCAAACATTGGTCTAAAACGCAGATGTTCTGATGAAAGTTCAATATAGCGACGATTGACCCGAGGCCTGGTGTCGAAATAATGAAATTAGCTGAATAGAAGGAGGTTCTGAAGAATGCAACACTTTCAAACTCTCGCGCCTACCACCTGCCCCTTTGTTCATATTCTACGCCAGATTAGGTGCAAATATCATGATATGAAAATGCGTACAACATTGTATTTGAAATCTAAAGCATTTAAGTTAATGTCCCCCGAGGTATCTTGTTAGAGATGTACAGTTTATCTGACATTTCAGTAAATTACCTCCGTGATCAAACATCCTTTTTTGTCACTCAGGGCGTGCACCATGAAACATTCTGTGGGTGTCCGGACCTCATCGCAAGTTATTCGCATTCTAATGCTTTCACGAATCCTGTAAATGGCTCATATTGCCAAGGAAGTCACGATGATGTTGCCCAGTTGACTGGGTCAATATATGTAACCACCACCCGTTCAAGAAGAACACACAAAAGTTATCCAGTTACCAATAAATTCGAAGCTCAGACGCAGGCATACTTTCCGTGTACTCTTAATGGTGTTTTTGTAATTCAGCCGAGGAACAACACAAAAAAGCAGGGGATCGCTAAACTAAATGGCTTGATACTAATTATTAACACTACACTCTCTATAGTAAATTTCTAACTCTTGCCTTTAGCTGTGAGAAGCTATCACATTCGGCTAACATCCATTGGCAACCGGCCCTTACCAATAAAGCGAAATAAGAAGACCCTTTGAAACTGACTTCTACAAAACAAGACCTGAAGACAACAAAAACGAAACTCAAGAACCATCAAAAACAGCAACACGTAAATCGGCGTAGCGGTTTCTCTTTCTCTGCGCCCCGGGGGACGGAGAGGAACGGAGAGTGGACAGGCCACTGACAGGATTCCTCGCTGGGTGACGGTGAGGGGCCCCTTGTCCTTGACCTCGCATCCGCGGACGACCGTGTGGAAGCCGTAGCGGTGCAGCAGCGTGGCCGCCATGTGGCGAAGCTCGCCGCCCGTGCACTTGGACGGAATGCACGTGCCCAGCTGGATCCCGAAGAACAGGTCCTGGTTCAGCCAGTTCAGCGGGTTGTAGGCACCCTGGGACAGCGTACAACGGCTCCAGCTGTACAGCCGTGGCCAGACAACGTGGGTTTCCCGTCGAGCCGTAGCGCCTTAGACTAGGTTTTAGGGCCAAGTTTATCGTTTGTTTTTGTTTTATTTTGACGGCAACTTTGATGTGAGCGGAAATGTCCTAACTCGGGGGTTTTGAAACTCTTCGACCCTGAGGAACCTTTACCTCTCTTGATTGATGTCTGAGAAACCCTTCTCGGTCATGGCACCGATGGAATAAAATCGGTGCAGGAGCCTACATAACTCGTATGCAATCATGGCCCGCTGGATTTTGCCGTCCTTACCGGCCGCTGGCACCTCGTCAGGTGACCTGTTTGCCTTTTGTGCCAGCGGACCGTTCAAGTCAATTTTGTATTTGACTTGAAAAAAAAAAAAGATTGATTGATTGATTGATATGTGTTTGATTCATGCATCAGTGACCCATACAGCACAGTTCTCCGGGCCGAAATTCGGCTTTTGTTTGAGAATTCAGGACTTTGAAAAGTCTGAAGAAGTCATGATAAAGCCAAATTTGGCCTTCTGTGACAAGTGTCAGGATATCTTGGTTCTAAATTGAGTGCCAATGCTAGGCTTCACTGCCTGGTGGTTCGGCTGTCCTCTGGAATCTCTTGGCCTAAATTTCCAAACGAGCGCAGGAGTGGCTTAGGTCCTCGAAAATACTGCTTAAACAACGAATAACACTTTACTTAAGAGCAGGGATGATCATAAAAATTTGACAGCTCTGTGAACTCCTGAGGGTAAGCAGGAAGCCCTTGGTTACCTCAGACATCAGGTTAGTTATGAACCCGTGTTTTAACTTATACGTACGCCATATTTCTTTTAATACATTTAAAATTAATATGCCGCGAAGAACTACAACTGGCATTTGTGTGTTTTGTTTAGGTGGTAACAGGAAAAACTACGAAGCGCAGAAATAATGTTTTGTTATGAAGACATGTTGCGAAATTTTTGTTAGTTATATAGAACAACTCTGGCGCTTTTGGTTACTCTCACTTTTTTTATACATATCTCTGCCTGTAAGTATATCGCGTAACTTTAGCAGCTTCTATCGATCTAGGCTTTTACAACAAGAAAGCTGGTCCCTTAGTATAGTAGCAACTTATAATTAGATGATTTACGAGTGAGGTACAATAAACCTAGCGCACTAAAAACTTTAGTGCGCATACTTTCCCGCAGAACACTTCGGGGAAACCGGTCTGCGCTGTGATACTAAGCATTGCGAAGGCTCGTGAAATGTCATGATGTGTCACAGCGCCGACTTCTTTTTAGATCTAAACGTATCTTCCGCCTCGTCATTCCCGAAGTCCCTCCGTATATTACAACGATTGGCTTTCAGAAATGTCTTGTGGAAAAGTAAACGCACCCGAATTCTTAAGGTGCTGACGTTTAGGGAAAAAAAGCAAAAAAACTCAGATAGAAAATAGTTAATTGTTGCTCCAGATTAGAAAAAACAAAACAAAAAACTTTCTTGAATGTATTAATAAACGCAACAACACACCTGAATTTCTTCTGCGATTTGAAAGACGATTCAAACTTGATACAAAAGATAATTACAATGCCGTGCATTCAACTTTTGAAAACAATTATCTCCTGGAAACAAAAAAAAAAAAAAAGAAATCAACCGAAAGTTGGAATAAATGAACTACGGGTTGTTATGGGGAGCAGCAGGGTGAATACCCGACTTTTTCCGTTTGTCTAGTTTTTGAGATAAATGGTTCAAATTCTTTGCTCTGTTGAGGTGGCAGGTGACCGCTTCGGTACCGGGTACTTCGGAACCGTACGATATGGTACGCCGAACGTTCTGGTATACGTGGTCGTTTCGACACCAAAACAGTCGCCCCGAAACGTCCAGTCGTGAAATGTTCCATGTCAATGTATCCTAGACGTCGTTGGGATGACTACAATATGGACATGACGTCACTTCTTTGAAAGAACTACTGGAACACTTTGAACAAGAAAATGTCAAATACAATAGGACTGCAATGAGATATTCAAGAATGTGAGGCATGGTAGAAATTTAGCTTCAGACTTGAACAGGCTGTCATTTATACACTTGCCATCTTACATTGGCATTGTGTACGCATATGCGCTCTCTGAATCCTTACTCCGCCTGGCATGACACGAAATAAATGACGACTGTATCCCGTTATCTGCACAAATTCATGAAGCCTTGCCTAAGCACGTGTAGTCACAATAGGTTGTGAAGACAGGTAACAGAATACCGAACCCAGACGTGCCTACACAGCAGTCACTGAAAGTCCTAACAGGAGTAAACGAACGAAAGCAAGAGTCATTGACGTCCGAAATAGGAAAGTTCTAGTCGGAATCCTCCGTCTCCCTTGAAATTCCAGCAGCGAGTTGAACAGAGACAAGGACCGGGGGTTTCCTCGTTCATCGGGGTATATTTGAGCTGTCATCGAAGGATCAGCTTTCAACGTTGCAGTCGTCAAAAATAAGCCCCGAGGTACGAGACATCACGCCGCCTCTGTCAAGGTTGTTACCCGTCGCGTGGGAACAACGAAAGTCGTAAGTTACGCAGCCACCTGTATGCTTGCATTCCCTTGTTCTTGGGCGATAAGAGGAAGAGATGTCTTACGAGTAGCTCCCCCTTCTCCTGGAACTTGCTGATCATCTTCTTGAGGAAAGGAACTCCCCTGGGGTTGACGAAGAGGCTACAATACTGGCCCGTGAAGTCGACGTCTCCGTACAGGTCTCTCACAACCACATCGAGGCATTCGTCGTAGCTGCCCAGATCGGCGACGGTCCCCTGAAGAAGACCCGCCGGCGGTTTGCCGTTGGAGTCTGTCACTGCGGGTGAAAGACAAGGGTAATCACAGTTATAGAACAATTAAAATCTACGATGTTCCGTTTAACTTAAGTTTGACCGCAGCCGACGCTTAAACGCGATTATATGGGGCCGACCAAGCGGTACCAAAAGGGCGTCGTTACGGCGCTTGTCGTCTTTGGGCGTTTGTTATCCCTGGCTTAACCAACCAATCGCAGTGTATGCGCCATGAACCGGCGCTTTGTTTTGTTCCACATTAGTTTTTGGTCGGTGGTGGCAAACGAACAAAGACGGCTAGCGCCATGACGGTGCACTTTTGGTGCTGCTTGATTGGCTCCATCGAATTGCGTAGAGTCGGCCGCGGTCCCATTTAGTGTGAAATGGATTATACACTCTAAAAAAAAGACTGTGCGTCTACTTTCCCGCACAGCACTCAGAGAGCCAATCACCACAACTTACAGAGGCAGCTTAGCGAATGACGATGCCGAAACATATGTATAGACCAAAAAACGCAGTCTGAGTTTGGACATTAAGCAATGCAAGTGTGACGGTTTGCATTGCTTCATGTCACAACTCAGACTGCATTTTTTTGTCTAAACAAATGTTTCGGCATCTTCGTGCGCTGAGCTGCCTCAGTAAGTTGCGGTGATTGGCTCTCCGAGTGTTGTGCGGGAAAATAGACGCACAGACTTGTTTTAAAGTGTATCAACTGAGCTAACCAGGTGTTAGGCGTCAAAAGAGCAAACGGGTTTTATCAGCTGCCACCAGTCTAATACCAACAAAGGTGAACTGCCTGCATTTTAAGGTTATGATGATAATGCAATTAATTCAAAAGCGGAAGCGAGTTGGACAAGAATGATGAAAATAATCCCTGGAGAAGGGAACGAGGGGGACAAAGGAAAAACACAAATCTCCAAACATGACTAGGTTACTGGTGGCAGCTGATAAAACCCGCTTGCTCTACTGACGTCTAACTCCTGGTTACCTCAGCTGGTAGAGCTCTCCACTGGAAAAAGAGAGGCCTCTGGTTCAATACCAGGACCAGGCGGATTATTTCGGTCACGCACCAGTCACCTAGCTGTGTTTGGACACTTTTATTCGTCCTTTGTCCCCCTTGTTCCCCTTTTCCGGGGATGATTTTTGTCACACTCATTACCTTTAAAATTAATTTTGTCCCAAATAAAATGACACAATTGTTGTTAGTCTGTCATTTGTTAACTTTCATGTTTATAAAATATTCGTCTGCTTGAAGTAAGTTTTACAAACCAAAAAAGAAAACAAAAATTAAAATTTCCTTCCTTCTGAGCGCAGTTTCTGGACAGGCTGTATACGTGTCACGGACATCCAAGACGATCTCATATAACTGCGATCATCTTCCGAGCGTCGCAATATGCCTTGATCGCTTATTTTATAAATACGATAAAACAAAATACGATAAAATGATTTTCACAGTGGTTGTGATACAAAGAGTTCTTTGTACGAAGGTAAGCAGACGGCTTATAAGATGCCATCCAGATGCTTTTTTAACGTATATTCATACTTAATTTTAGGGAAGCTGCGAACTTTTTCGAACCGAAGTTTTGATTATCGAATCAAGCGGTTGGAAAGGTTCGAAAGATTTCCAATTTTCGTACTTTCTATATTGATAAATATGATAGTCGAATTTTCGACCTTGATGAACTAAAAAGTTCGACGCTTTTCGAAATTTGGAACTTTGCACATGTAGAAGTGCAATGTTTTTCGAACCTTCGACCTTATTACGCTAAAAATTCGATCCATTTCAAACTTTCGAATTTATTACGCTGCGAAATTCGATGCTTGTCGAACTTTCGACCTTGATAGACTAAAACGTTCGAAGCTTTTCGAATTTCCTACACTAAGAAATTGGATAATTTTAGAGCTTATTTATTTAGAGAAATCTAAAATTTTCGATTCCTGAAAAGTCAAAAGTTCGACGAATTTCGAATTTTTAGAATAAAAGTTCGCAGTTCATCGAACTTCGATAGATTGGTGGGCGGCTTCATTTGAATTCAAACAGTGAGGTACATTCGTAACTTTTTTTTCGAATTTTTACATGCGTTGTCGCATTTTTTGCGAAAGACAATGACGTCTATTTCAATTTTCTGGCATGCTTAGTTAAAAAAAATATATAATTCCCGAAGGAGCTAGTAAGGACGACGGGTTTCTGACGATTTTCGTTTGTGCCATATTTGAAGCGCGCTATAGCCGAATCTATTTATGGTAGAGATGTTGAACTTTTTAAGGATGATCTATGTCTAGCCTAAGTAATTGTGTCGTCTTAAGTTATGATTATTGTTAATCAATAGATTTTCGAAGAAATGTCCAAACACGTATCTACGGGCATGATGGACATTTTTTTTCTGTTCCAATAAGCTGTATCAGCCTAATCTGGTAATCCTATAGAACATGACCGATATACCGCGGCGTTTATTTTGTGTACTAAGTAACACCAGTAAGCTGCGTCCGAAGTACAAATGCCCAATTATCTTTATTAAGTACGGTCGGAACACATTTTATTTTGCGCAATAACGACGCCGAAGTGGTCAACTTCCTCACCGATTACCTAATGAAGGGCTCGATTTAGAACGAGCGCATGGCGCCTATTAAAATACTATCAGAAAATAAAGTGGACAGTTCTTGATACTGGCACGTTTCGATGAAGCAAGAGACGTTTTGTCACGAACATTTAATTACATTGAACGCTTAATCAAATTTCGCACTGAACGAAGTTCCGCAAGCATTAGTGTATAGTTTCATTTCGAAGTAAATGTGCGGCCTTACCAAGGAAGTCTCGTAAAAGATATCTTTAGTTCCTATTGCTGTGGGCCGTGGACGCGGTTAATCACCGCACTCTTTCAGAGTTGAATCCACAGGGCATTTCTCAGCGCTGTTTGGGATTATACAAGAACTTGTAGTAATTAGCAAATGAGCGGAATTGAATTCAACTTTTCACAAAAGGTGGTTCATTTTTTATACCCAAGTTTATGAGTGTTGGATGCTGGAAAAAAAATGCAAGCCAAAAATGCCCCGTTATTTTTATGGCCAGGGGGAAAAACGCAAATAAACCGTTTGATTTTTGCCGCTTTTCACAGATGGTACCACAAACGCTAAAATTTACTGAATCTGATTTCGGGTACTCATGGCAAAGAGGCTTTCAAATTTTTGTTTCGTGCTGTGCCATCCGTGGATATAGCACCGTCAACCAGACTGTTTGTCTCCGTTTTTTTCCCCGCAGTCATAGAAACAACAGTTTTTTTGGCTGGAAGTTCTTTTCCGAAATTATACACTTACGAATGTTTAGTATGGTAAATGCACCACTTAGAAACACCTTTGTGAGAAGGTTCATGACATTCCAGTCATTGGACTTTTTATATGTATTGTTTTACGCCCAATTAACACTCAGAAGTGTACCCTGTAGACTGTCACGAAGACTTGCATGGCACGATTGCATGTTGTCTTATTACATGAACTAAATTACTTCGGAAACAGCAAATTTGCGATTGCTTGATTATTTTATTTTTTGAAGTTTGTAAGTATATATGTTAATTACTTCCAGATTAAATTTTTAAAGAGTTATTACTAATGGTCTAAATTTAGTGTATAAACATCTAGATGGCTGTTTTCCCTACGAATAAAGGTAGCCCCACGCCCCCTCCTCCTTTCTCCGCCGCGCCTTTTTCTCCTAAACATTATTGTTTGGACAATATTTGGGTGTCGGGTTCCAAATCCATCCAAGTTTGGCAGTAATCTTGGCTTTCGAGATCAATTTACCATTCAATAAAATACTGAAAAATGATCCACTGCCATGTCTTGTGATAACCTTGCGAATGTAATTCTAATTTTGTTCAAGAACGCATGGAAGATATTCACGTCTGTCTTTAGCGTGGCGACCTTCTAAACAACAACTTTTAAGTATGTACACTTTTTTCTTTTAATGCTGGACTCAATCACCTATCTCGGCTGACAGACGCCTCGAATTATTTGCCTATTTCATTTTCGGCTCACAATTACTAAGACGACATTGAAGCCTTATTTATTTAATAGCGAGCAGGTGTAGCTTCATTAACACCACTGAATCATAAGACAAACTTACGACGTCGTGTTGCGAACCCATGAAAAGTATCCAAGGTCACTTTGCCTTCTCCCTCAATTCAAGTTGTTTAACCAACTCAAGTAGAGGCGACAAACAAAGAGAAACACAAATACGGTTTGTCAGCGGCACTGCCCGCTAGTACAGATGTCTCAGGTGGATCGACTCGCGTGTAGTTTCGTCTTTTAGTCTAAAATTAGTCCATTATTTTCCTCTTCACATTGACACGACGACACTAACGCCGTATTCTTATCAACGGCTGTTTCTCCTTTTTAATTTAAGGAATATCGTTTTTTTTTTTTTTTTTTTTTTACTGGTAGGACTTGTTTTTTATATTTGTTCTGGTTCAGTTTGTATTTTTAACCATGTCAAGCTAGTTCTGGCTTAGGGTAAAGGTAGCGATCAGATATATAGGTCAATACATTTCCCTCTTAACTACAGACCCCAACAAGATTATCCGACTTTGCGGTTTGTCTCCGGTCTTCTTTTAGCCTTTCGTTATCTGTTGGCGTCTTTCTTGAGGATTCGACATTTAGGTTTGCCCTGTACGCTGGTTTGAAGATCTGTAGAACGGGTTTTGGACGTTGGGGTAGCTAGAAGCGTGTACGTGACGTGACCCGGTAAAAGCTGTCGGGCTTATCGCTTATAAATAGACCGTTCCATATGAGAAAGTCACGCATTGTTGAGCGGGTAGCCAGGGGACATGAGCACAGCCTCTTTTGTATTCCCCTTTCAGCATGTCGCGAGGATTAGTTAACAAGATGCATCCATTGCCTGGTATCCGTTGCACAGATTTTCAAGCTCTGCAGAAAATGAACGGAAGTGTCGTAATTGTACTCTGATAAAGGTTCCATATTCGAAGATTGTGCTCCAAATTTTAATAACTAAGAGCCATATCTTTCTTCTATTTTT